TAATATAATAATAATAATAATAATAATAATAATAATAATAACAGCCTAATAACAACAATAGTCTATAATAATAATAATAATAATAATAATAATAATAAAACAATTTATTTAATAAACATTATTATTATTCATTTTTGTTGTTGTTTTGAATAATTGAAACCCAAATGTAAATGAAAATCAGAAAATACATTGATAAACAGTAAAGATAATCAAGTCAATCAAATGTTGCTTATTAGTTTTAGATATTCTGACACCTGGTTGACATGCATTTAGGTTAATATGAATTAAATTAATGAAAATGAATTAACATGAATGAAAATCTCCAAGTACAGCCGTACAGGGAATTTCAGTGCTGGTGACATAAATTGAAGCAAGTGTAGAAATATAAAAATACAAATAAAGATGTTGAGAAAAGTATCCATGCTGAGTTTGGTTAAACCAAGAGAAGCCCTTTTAATGATGGAAGAATACCTTTTATTATCACGCTGTTACACTTCAAATCATCAATAGGCTGTATGCATATCGACTATTTTAATTGTGACTCAGGGGCGTCTTGTATTAAACCACGCCACCTTGTGGCGAAATCTGTGAAATGCAGCTCCTGCTGCGTACAAGTAGCTCGCGGAACAGTCCGCGCGAATCATTCTGTCAATTGAAGACTCACTCACTCGAGACACATTTAGTGCACGGGATTGAAGCGAGAGGGGAGAGCCAGCAAGCCGGCCAATTCACTTTAAATAAACCAAGGGATGGCTTTCAGGACGCCTGCTGTTCAACTGCATCTTAAAACGTGCTTTCTTCTGCTTTTAGGGGGTCTGATGGAAGCTGCCCAAGAGCAAGGAAGCATGTTCATGTGGATTGATGCCAATCAAGCAAGAATATTAATTGGTAATAGTGTTTAGCGCTTTAATGATATTAGAGCCCAAGTGTGAACCAAGCCAGTGCATAATGACTTTAGCACAGGGTTTTTCAAGCTACGAGATGCTTGTGAATGCTCAATGTTTTATCCAACAGGTTTTGAAGAGGATATTTTAATAGTCTCCGAGGGCAAAATGGCCCCGTTCACACACGACTTCAGGAAAGCTCAGCAGCGAATGCCAGCAATACCTGTCAATATCCACCACGTGAACTTCACCTGGCAAGCCACTCATCAGGTAGGCTACTGTAAAACTTTTGTATATTCTTCATCTGGCGTGATCTTAACCAGGGACACATTACACATTTTATTTTCTTGATGCAGTCCTATTCAAATAAAATATCTAAACATCTTTAAAACAAGCTTATTCTAGCTACCTGATAAGCAGAATTATTGAAGTTCGTTTTTTTCCTTATGCGTGCACGTGGAGTTTTCAGGTTTATTGACTTTTATGATTAACATGTTTGTGTAAATAAGCTGTTTTACAATTCGGAAATACATGAAACAATGTGAAATATGCTGTTAATAACATATATTTCTTATATGAATTATTGTCATATTTCTTAGTATTTTCTTGTTTACATATAAAATATCTAAACAACGTTTAAACAAGATCCTACATTTAAATGAACTTAACATTAAAATACATTTTCTAACGAGTTAATAATGGATGCAATAATGTTTACAATAAACATATATTATATAAATAATTGTTTCGAAATATTTTCTTTGAAAACTAATCTCATGCAGTTTTGATTCTCAATTGAATTGCTCATTTTGTTTTAAAGTAGCTATACTTTTACTAAAAAAATGTTTGTAATTAATAAAATATTTTTGCACTTTAATATTGTAAACCGAATCTGTGTCGTATATTGGCCTAATTTGAAAGGAAAAAATGTCATTTCAATTCTTGTGGTATTTTGCATGTTGGTGTTGTAAAGCTGCACGCGGATCAAAGCGCGAGGGCGCCTCCTCATGCATGTGCCAAACATCTGGGTCGTCATCGGTACACTGAGAGCGCGCGCTTTATTAAACAACCAAACTTCCATTTGGAATCACTTTGCGTTGCGTTGTTATTGCTTGTTGATCTTCTTTGTAATTCGTTAGGGTTTTGGCAGAAACAGTGGCAAATAACTTTTACCCTACAGAGCTTTTCCCCAAGGTTTCATAATATAATTGTGTTACAGAAGATCCCAAATAGCCAGTATCATGGTATTCATTACAAATTACCTGACTAAAATCAGAAAGGAAATCTTTTAAAACCTTTTGGTTCTCAGGATCTCTTCTAAAAATGTAAAGGCTGCTATATATTTCTATGCATATTTTTATTTATACTGTGTATGAACTGTTTTAAGCATTATAAGGCATAATAATAAAAGTAACTTAATAATAATAATAATACAAACAAAATACAAATAAAAAAACATAATTAGGCTAACAATTTTTAAAAAGCTTTTATTTTGT